TGTGTACATGGGTGTACAATTGTGTACAAGGCTGTACAAGTGTGTACAAGGTTGTACAAGTGTGTACAAGGTTGTAACAGGGGGTACAAGGTTGTACAAGTGTGTACAAGGTTGTACAAGTGTGTACAAGGGTGTACAGGTTTGTACAATGTTGTACAAGTGTACAAGTTTGTACAAAGTTGTACAAGTTTGTACAAGTGTGTACAAGGTTGTACAATTGTGTACAAGGCTGTACAAGTGTGTACAAGGTTGTACAAGTGTGTACAAGGTTGTACAATTGTGTACAAGGCTGTACAAGTGTGTACAAGGTTGTACAATTTTGTACAAGGCTGTACAAGTGTGTACAAGGTTGTACAAGTGTGTACAAGGCTGTACAATTGTGTACAAGGTTGTACAAGTGTGTACAAGGTTGTACAAGTGTGTACAAGGTTGTACAATTGTGTACAAGGCTGTACAAGTGTGTACAAGGTTGTACAAGTGTGTACAAGGTTGTACAAGTGTGTACAAGGTTGTACAATTGTGTACAAGGTTGTACAAGTGTGTACAAGGTTGTACAAGTGTGTACAAGGGTGTACAAGTGTGTACAAGGTTGTACAAGTGTGTACAAGCTTTTACAAGTGTGTACAAGGGTGTACAAGTGTGTACAAGTTTGTACAAGTTTGTACAAGGTTGTACAAGTGTGTACAAGGTTATACAATTGTGTACAAGGTTGTACAAGTGTGTACAAGGTTGTACAAGTGTGTACAAGCTTTTACAAGTGTGTACAAGGGTGTACAAGTGTGTACAAGTTTGTACAAGTTTGTACAAGGTTGTACAAGTGTGTACAAGGTTGTACAAGTGTGTACAAGGTTGTACAAGTGTGTACAAGGTTGTACAAGTGTGTACAAGTTTTTAAATTGTGTACATGGGTGTACAATTGTGTACAAGGCTGTACAAGTGTGTACAAGGTTGTACAAGTGTGTACAAGGTTGTAACAGGGGGTACAAGGTTGTACAAGTGTGTACAAGGTTGTACAAGTGTGTACAAGGGTGTACAGGTTTGTACAATGTTGTACAAGTGTACAAGTTTGTACAAGGTTGTACAAGTGTGTACAAGGGTGTACAAGTGTGTACAAGCTTGTACAAGTTTGTACAAGGGTGTACAGGTTTGTACAAGGTTGTACAAGTGTGTACAAGGGTGTACAAATGTGTACAAGGATGAAAAGGTTGTACAAGTTTGTACAAGTTTGTACAAGGTTGTACCAGTGTGTACAAGGTTGTACAAGTGTGTACAAGGTTGTACAAGTGTGTACAAGGTTGTACAAGTGTGTACAACTTGTACAAGTGTGTACAAGCTTGTACAAGTGTGTACAAGGTTGTACAAGTGTGTACAAGGTTGTACAAGTTTGTACAAGGTTGTACAAGTGTGTACAAGTTTGTACAAGTGTGTACAAGTTTGTACAAGGTTGTACAAATGTGTACAAGGGTGTACAAAAATGTACAAGGGTGCACAAGTTTGAACAAGGGTGTACAAGTGTGTACAAGCTTGTACAAGTGTGTACAAGCTTGTACAAGTGTGTACAAGGGTGTACAGGTTTGTACAAGGTTGTACAAGTGTGTACAAGGGTGTACAAGTATGTACAATAATGTACAAGTTTGTACAAGTGTGTACAAGTTTGTAAAAGGTTGTACAAGTGTGTACAAGGGTGTACAAGTGTGTACAAGGTTGTACAAGTGTGTACAAGCTTGTACAAGTGTGTACAAGGGTGTACAAGTGTGTACAAGGTTGTACAAGTTTTTACATGGTTGTACAAGTGTGTAAAAGGTTGTACAAGTGTGTACAAGGTTGTACAAGTTTTTACAAGGTTGTACAAGTGTGTACAAGGTTGTACAAGTGTGTACAAGGTTGTACAAGTGTGTACAAGGTTGTACAAGTGTGTACAAGGTTGTACAAGTGTGTACAAGGTTGTACAAGTGTGTACAAGGTTGTACAAGTGTGTACAAGGTTGTACAAGTGTGTACAAGGTTGTACAAGTGTGTACAAGGTTGTACAAGTGTGTACAAGGTTGTACAAGTGTGTACAAGGTTGTACAAGTGTGTACAAGGTTGTACAAGTGTGTACAAGGTTGTACAAGTGTGTACAAGGTTGTACAAGTGTGTACAAGGTTGTACAAGTGTGTACAAGGTTGTACAAGTGTGTACAAGGTTGTACAAGTGTGTACAAGGTTGTACAAGTGTGTACAAGGTTGTACAAGTGTGTACAAGGTTGTACAAGTGTGTACAAGGTTGTACAAGTGTGTACAAGGGTGTACAAGTGTGTACAAGGTTGTACAAGTTTTTACAAGGTTGTACAAGTGTGTACAAGGGTGTAAAATCGTGTACAAGGATGTACAAGTTTGTACAAGTTTGTACAAGGTTGTACAAGTGTGTACAAGGATGTACAAGTTTGTACAAGTTTGTACAAGTTTGTACAAGTTTTTACAAGTTTGTACAAGGTTGTACAAGTGTGTACAAGGATGTACAAGTTTGTACAAAGGTGTACAAGTGTGTACGATAAGTAAAAGTGTGTACAAGGGTGTACAAGGTTGTACAAGTGTGTACAAGGTTGTACAATTGTGTACAAGGCTGTACAACTGTGTACAAGGTTGTACAATTGTGTACAAGGCTGTACAAGTGTGTACAAGGTTGTACAAGTGTGTACAAGGTTGTACAAGTGTGTACAAGGTTGTACAAGTGTGTACAAGGTTGTACAAGTGTGTACAAGTTTTTAAATTGTGTACATGGGTGTACAATTGTGTACAAGGCTGTACAAGTGTGTACAAGGTTGTACAAGTGTGTACAAGGTTGTAACAGGGGGTACAAGGTTGTACAAGTGTGTACAAGGTTGTACAAGTGTGTTCAAGGGTGTACAGGTTTGTACAATGTTGTACAAGTGTCTACAAGTTTGTACAAGGTTGTACAAGTGTGTACAAGGGTGTACAAGTGTGTACAAGGGTGCACAAGTGTGTACAAGGGTGTACAATCGTGTACAAGCTTGTACAAGTGTGTACAAGGGTGTACAGGTTTGTACAAGGTTGTACAAGTGTGTACAAGGGTGTACAAATGTGTACAAGGATGAAAAGGTTGTACAAGTTTGTACAAGTTTGTACAAGGTTGTACAAGTGTGTACAAGGTTGTAAAAGTGTGTACAAGGTTGTACAAGTGTGTACAAGGTTGTACAAGTGTGTACAACTTGTACAAGTGTGTACAACTTGTACAAGTGTGTACAAGCTTGTACAAGTGTGACGTAATTTTCCTGGCGGGCGACAAGTGGGAAATTACGCCACCGGTAAGAACACGAGATCCCAGGATTCGCCCTAGTCTGGTCGCGGGGAGTTTCCCAGGAGTCGATAGTGATTCGGATAGCCTAACTTTGATAGCCCTGGTTGTCAGAGCTCGAGACGAACGTTACGGGTTACTAAACACCCAACTGGAAATCACCACTCTAGCCTAGGGCTTGTGGGGAAAATAATAATTTTGACTTGACTCTGTGGGCAAATATCTAAATGACACACTACTAGCTAACTTAACGAATCAACAAGTAAGCTAAGTAGTCACTCCGCTTACCTACGGAGTTACGTCGTCAACCTGAAACAAACAAGGTTAGTACAAGATAGGCCTAACCTAGCCTAACTCCCACAGAGTCTGAATTTACTAAACAAGAAAACAAGTTGGCTTAAATTGCACAAGTGAGACACGAAACGGGAGAAAAACTGAAACTAAAAATAAAACTGCTTCAAGAGCTGATACGAAAAAGGAAAACTAAAACTTCAACTTCCCCACGTGTTCAACTTAAGCAAACTTCTGCAATAGTTATCAAGCAGAAACCTGTCTGCTGGGGCCAACTTCGGGGCGTTCGGGAACTTTATAAAGGGGTTTAAGAATTTAAAAAGAAAGTCCCAGATATGGATTACGAAACGTTAATCGAAATGATCTGTCACCAACTCCGATACTTTAATTAAATGAGTTGGTTAAAGCGTATGACGAGGTCTGCGAATCAGGCCTAGCCTAGGGACTTCGACAAAGTTCTGCCGAAACACAAGTGACAAAAGAAAAACCTAAGTTGTCTTAGTTTTACACAACTTACCAAACGAAGCAATACTACAGTAAAACACTTTTAGCACACTCGATGCACCACGAATACTTAATGTAGGCGAACTTTTAAGCGCCGAACGAAAAAGAACAAAACTCTTCAAATCGAAGACGAAAAGACGTATTAGCCAATCCTTCAAAAGCCGGGAATACGAATGACCAAAAATTCACAAAACTTCTTCTTACTTCACCTTCGTCTCAGAATCGAGACGAAAGTTAAAACGATTCCTGATTGGTCAACGAGTTACCGAAACCAAAAAAAAAACTGGCAGCGAAGGCAGGCGCATGGCAGCTTTAACAGGCTTACAGCCGCGTACCGCTCAAAGGTGACCTCGCTGCTCATCTTCTCTCCCGTAGCCCGGCCTCAGATGCAGTCGAACCGCCAAACAACCAAACTGACACCAACGTCGTCTGCGGTCTTGGAATTGGAGGTTAGGTACGACGTCAGTTTAGTGTCGCGACTAGGCTTACTCAACAGCTTATGTTTAGCTGTTTAATGTTCGTGGTCTAGATCGTTATATTTTTACCCCCCTACCCATTTGACTCGTTACACCCCCTCCACACTTCGGAACGAAAAAAAAAGAAAACCGAGAAAAGAAAAAAAAACTGTTGAACTTTCCTGTAGATGGCACCACAGTAGGATCGTGGTTAAGGATGTTGACGACGAAAAGCGGACGAACCTAGAAATGAGGTAGACAGTCTGAGGCCTAATCGCCTCAGAGGTCTAGATGGAAATGACTCGGAGCGAAGAAAACCGAAGATGGTGGGGTTGACGAAGGTAGGGTGGTACGGATTTATCACCCCTGGCAGGGGTTATTCTGCGGGTTCTATTAGCACCACCTCCCAGGTGGTTATTAGGAGTCGACGGCCCCTACAACTGCCCAGGGCGGTTTAGCGGGGTCGATTGCCTCCTTGCTGCTGGAAGCGCCGCCTCAGCTCCGGCAGTCGGCCTCGGACGACTCGCAGCACCTGGCTCGGTCGCAGCCGCACGTATCGGTCGCCTCCCAGCATAATTCTCCAGCGTTTGTTGCGCCGCTGCTCCGGTGTGAGCTGGTTGTAGGCGGCTACCAGCCGTAGTAGGACTGCCCGGGACAGCGGAAGGGCGTTCCCGGTGACCGTCTCTTCGGGCTCTGTCCGGCGAACAGGGGCTCGGGCCAGGCCACTCGGTCGAGCTGGTTCCCAGATGATGGGGGACGGTCTGCGGCGCGCTGGGCCCGCTCCGGCTCCAGCTGGTGCTTCTCCCAGACGGGGGCGGCGAGGAGGGGAGTCGCGACGGCGACGCTCGGGCAGGCGACGAGTCGGCAAGACAAGACGTGGGCGAGGCAGTGCGGCGGGGCCAGGATGGCGACTGGGTGGCGAGGCGGGACGGCAGCTATGACGGGATGAAGAGACGGGACGGCAGCTATGACGGGATGAAGAGACGGGACGGCAGCGACGATGGGGCGGAGAGGCAGGACGGCGAGGATGACGGGGCGGGGAGGCAGGGCGGTGATGACGACGAGACGGAGAGGTGGAGCGGCGATGATGACGAGGTAGAGAGGCGGGGCGACGATGAGGACGAGATGGAGAGGCGGGGCGACGAGGAGGACGAGATGGAGAGGCGGGGCGACGATGAGGACGAGGTGGAGAGGCGGGGCGATGATGATGACGAGGCGGAGAAATCTGAATCCGCCGCCGAGGTGACGAAGCGAACCGGACTCGGAGCGGAGGCGACGCAGCCGGCGGAGAGACGACGGCCGGCTGGGGATCCACCGTCGGCGAGGTCGGTCGGTCGGGCTGAGGAGACGGCTCCGTGGACCGTGGCGATGATCGGGCCGGGACCTCCCCCTCCTCGAGGTCTGAGCATTCCAGGTCGAGGACGTCCCCGGGGTCCACCCGGAAAGGCCAGGACCAGTTGGCCGCCAGGAAGTCCCCGATCTCCTGGTCCAGCACCATGTCCTCGGGGTCGAGGATGTCTCGGCTCGGCGTAGACGGGCGTGGATCGGATGCCATCGTACCTACCCAACAAAACCAGAACTAAGCGGGACCATGCAAGCTAGGTACTACAAGCTAGGTACAGGTGCTACAAGCTAGGTACAAGCACTACAAAGCTAGAAGGGAAATCAGTTAAGGGATAAGGTAGGCTATATTAGTATATAAGAGTAAAATAAAGCGTCACTACAGAGTTAGTTAGTAGCCACAACTAAGCTCCACCACCTTACCACTAAACGCGCGCACAGAAAGGTTTTAGGTCTTTGGCATGGACCACATGCACCGCCGCGGAGTCCTCATCACGCACCTCGTAAAGGTTAGTTCCCCGACAGCCAACAACTGTGCAGGGGCCGCGATATTTCGGCGCTAACTTCCCGACAATCGCGTCGGCAGCTGAAGACAATACGTGAAGTCGTCGCATCACTCGCGCGCCAACTTCGTGCGTCACCTCCCTACGACGGAGGTTATAATAGGTTGATTGCCTTTCGTAGGCGGCCTTGAGGTTCTTGCGTGTCTGCGCGATCAGACGCTGAAACTCATCCAGTCGTTTGCGATGTGTCTCGCTTAACGAGGGACTTTGGTGAGTTTCGGACACCTCAAACGAAGGGCCACGGACGGCACAGGGAGGTTTCAGTTCGCGACCAAAACACAGCATCGCAGGAGTGAATCCAGTAGAGTCGTGGACAGCTGTGTTCAAGGCGTACTGAAACTCCACCAGGTGGTTGTCCCAAGACCTATGGTTGCCTTTTACGAACTGTGCAATCATGGTCTTCACCACCCGGTTTTGCCTCTCGACTGGGTTCGACTGCGGGCTGTAGGGGGCCGTCGTCTGCAGCGAGATGCCCCACTCAGCAGCCAGTTCTCGAACCAGTTTACCGACGAACTGCGTGCCGTTGTCCGTAATCAACACATCCGGAGCTCCATGTCGAAGTAGGATAGCCTTCAGCTTTGTCACCACATTCTTTGCGGTTGCAGACGCAATGGAGGCGAGTTCCGTCCATTTGCTGAAGGTATCCTGCACCACGAGCAGAAATCGCTGACCCCGTTGTGATCTAGGCAATGGGCCTACCAGGTCAGCAGACACTGCGTACCACGGTCCTTGGGGTTGTCGGAAGTACATTCTCCCAGCTGGTTTCGTTTGGGGTACTTTATAGGCCTGGCATTGGGCGCAAGACCGTACATAGGCCTTCACCTCACGACGCCAGTTAGGCCAAAAGTACTCCCCACCAACTCGGGCTAACGTCTTCTTCACCCCAAGATGTCCTGCCGTAGCCGTGTCGTGGTTTTCGTGCAGCACCACGGATACTTGGTCGCTTGGCACACACACCCTCCATGTCGTAGGTCGATCCTTCCTCGAGACAGCACGATACAGCTTACCGTCGCGAAGCTGGTATCTCGAGTATCGCCCAGGGTGTTTGCTGACCAGATTGCGAAGGCGGTCATACCAAGCACCGTGGCTGCCCGGCGGGTTACCATCATTGTCCACGTCGGATGATGGGTCGTCAGTCTCCTGCTGTGTAGGACCAGGAGCTTCGTCGTCGATAACGTCACCCGCCGGATCATCACCGAGTGAAGGTTCGTCACCTTCAGCATCGGTTAGGCGTCGTAACCGCAACTGTTCCCTAGCACCGCGTCTGGTTAAAACTCCGACCTCAAACGTAGGTTGATCGGGTTCAACAGACGGGCTGGGCACTTCAGGGACCGGCTGACGAGACAGGGCGTCGGCCACTCTGTTCGCTGTCCCCTTGCGGTACCTTATCTCGAAGTCGAATTGCTGCAACTCCATAACCCACCGAGCCAGGCGCCCACTAGGCTCACTGAGCTTAAGCAGCCATTTTATGGCGACATGGTCGGTTATCGCAATGAAGTGGTAGCCTTCGAGATAAGCCTTGAATTTCCGAACAGCCCACACGAGAGCGAGACACTCCTTCTCGGTAGTTGTGTAGTTCTGTTCGGCCTCAGTGAGTAGCCTACTGGCATACGCAACGACCACTTCTCGGTCGTTTACACTCTGAGTTAACGCTGCTCCCAGGCCATAATTCGAGGCGTCGACCTGGAGCACGAAGGGTTGGCTGAAGTCGGGACAGGCAAGAATCGGGGCCGTCACCAAGGCGTGCTTCAGGGCTTCGAATGCCTTAGTTTGTTCGGGTCCCCAGAGCCACTTGGCGTTCTTCTTCAGCAAACCTCGAAGTGGTATGGTTACCGAAGCGAACTTCTCGACGAATCGCCGATACCACGACGCAAGGCCTAGGAAACTGCGAAGTCCCTTGACGTTCGTGGGTGCGGGGAAATCCTGAATGGCGCGGACCTTCTCAGGATCCGTGGCAATTCCATCTTGGCTCACGATGTGTCCCAAATACTTCAGCTCCCTACGGGCGAAGTGACACTTCTCGGGGTTTAAACGAAGGCCCGCCTCGCGTAGGCGGCGAAAAACAACCCCTAGAAGTTCTAGATGTTCCTCGAAAGTTGTTGACACTACCACAAGGTCATCAAGGTACGCGAAGACCTTCGGCTCCAGCTCAGGCCCGATGACTCTATCCAGAAGGCGCTGGAAGGTGGCACCGGCAGAATGTAGGCCAAACGGCATGACCTTAAACTGGAAGAGGCCTAGGCCTGGCACAGTGAAGGCGGTCACGGGGCGACTGTCGACGGCCAGTGGCACTTGCCAGTAGCCTTGCTTCAGGTCCAAGGTACTGATGAACTTGGCCTGCCTGAGCTTCTCAAGGATGGCGTTAATCCTAGGCAGAGGATACGCGTCCTTGATCGAGGAGTCGTTCACCCTGCGCATGTCGATGCAAAAACGATATTTTCCAGTCGACTTCCGGATCAACACGATTGGAGAGCTCCATGGACTCTCGGATGGTTCGATTACATCATCCTTCAACATGGCAGCTACTTCATCGTTGATGACCGCTTGCATTGCAGGGTTACGAGGGTAGTGGCGCTGTTTGATCGGGACTGCGTTTGGTTTGAGCCGGATGACATGCTCAGTCAACGCCGTGGGTCCCACAACAGCATCGAAGAGAGGAAGTTCTTTCTCGAGAAAATTCTTGAGATGTCGTTCTTCCTTTGACGTCAGCGGTTCCAGTGTGCCCGTCGCACAAGGAAGAGTCGTGGTCGTGTCGAACGTGCCATCGTTGTTGACGTTTATTCGTATGAGGTTAAGGTCTCGAATACACCTCATTCCTAATACGACGTCCGTGGTGAGCCCAGGCACAAAATAGGCTCCGAGTATGAGGTTTTCACCTAAGATCTGGGCCGGGATGTGGTACTTCGTCTCAATCCGACAACGTGTACCATCAGCCATCCTCAGGTCCGCCGACGATATCTCAGGTTTTATCCCACACTCATCGAAGTGACGTACAACCTCATCCCCGACGAGGTTTACAACTGCTCCGGTATCCAATAGAGCTTGGAATCTCTTTCCAAGGAGCAAGGTGTCGATAAAAGGTCGGATGTCGGTTGACTCAGATGATTTTCCAGCCGACACATACGAGGTGCTCACGTAATTGAGCTCGGTAGAGGTCGTAGGCGGCTGCGCTGCGGGCTCAAGTGACCTCACTATGCCTGAACCCGATTCAGTGAAGGCCGTTATGTACTGGAGCCATGAGCTCCATTCTTCGGAGGTAGTGCGGCCACGGGACGTGGGCTCAGGTGACCTCCGGCGGCCTGAGTCCGTCTGGCGTTTCCCGCGCGACAACCGCAGCTTGTAGTGGCCACCCCGACTTGTTTGCAGTAGTAACACCGCAACACCTTCGGCTGAGTGCAATCCCTGAAGACATGTCCGCGTGCCTCACAGTTCCAGCAGACTGGAGGGTTGCGGTTACTCGATGACCGTGGTGGGCTCGTAGACGGTAGGCCCCGGTTTCTATTATTAGGGACGGTGGCCGTCGTATGCTTTGCCTGGTTACCCCCACTCCTTGCAGGGTAATCACCAGTGCGGCCGGTCTTTGGCGAGGTAGGTTGCGGTTTACGGTCGGGCTCAGAATAGTCCATCACCGCAACATCGACAAAACGGTCCATTCGACGCCTGGGCGTGTAGGCCGTTTCAGGCACCAATGCTTGAGCGACCGGAGGGGGAGGGCGGAACAGCTTGCGCTCCCGTAGCAGCTCCTCGTATTCGTCGGCTCGCTCGATGAGGTCGGGTAGCGTGACAAAGTCATGACGTCGTATCATGAACTTGTATTCCGGCCTCATGTTCAAGTACACCAGGTCGATGGTTTCCTGGTTAGAGAACTGTCCGCTCCGTCGGATCAGGGTTGTCAGAGCAATCACAAAATCTTTAAATGACTCTGTTTCACCCTGAGTGCGCTTCCGTATCTCGTCATCCAAGTGTCGATGATAGCCGGCAGGGAAGAACTGGACCTCGAATGCCCGCCTAAAGTCGTGGAAGGAACGCCACATCATTTTGTTGTTCCTATACCAGAGGAGAGCTTGGCCATGTAGAAGTGAAGGCAACGCCCTTAAAACGTCTTCTGGCGACAGGGAGTAGGCCTCGCGCAGCTCCTCTAGACGCTCCAGGAACGAGACCGCATCTCGTCGGCCATCGAAGCGCAAGTTCCACTTCCGGACCTTGTCGCAGAGGGCGGACGACGTTTTAACAACGTCCTCAGGCAGGTCATGACTCCGCAGGACGTACGAAGACCGGACACCTCCATATCCATCCCTTGTCCGAGACGGGACTGCGTATCGGGAGGTTAGCTGGTCTACCTCAGGAACTGGAGGCTCGGCGTGGTCCTCGTCACATAGTCGTGAGCCCCGCTGTTCGAGGTTCAACACCTCGGCTAACGTTTGCTCCATGCTGCGCAGGTCGGCATTGGGCGATAGGCCTAGCATTTGGCGTATGCGGTCCAGACTTCGATGTACTGGGTTCTCGAAGGGGTATTCCCGAGGCAGAGACCCTTGAGCCGAGTCGAAGGTATGCTGGGCATCAGTATCGTCCTCTTGACCGGCGAAGGACAGTTCGTGCGAAGCCGAGGTGATTGCAGCAGGTGGGCTCTGACGCTGGAACGTAGCCCTGG